AATTTTCCATTTTCGCCTGCAAAACTCTCGATTATTCCACAAAATTATTTGGGATTAGAACAGATTGTGCGAAGCTCTTGATTATTCCAGATATTGTGTGTATCAAGAGCACACATATAATTTTTTTTTGGTAAAAAAAAAAAAACAAAGATTTCTATTAGTTATTCTACGTATTTATGTAAACAAATGGAACGATTATTCTCTTTGTTTGTTAACACATACGGAAGTAAAAAGTGTGTGAATCCCACATTAAACCATAATTTATAATCCTACAACTACTGACTTTGCCAATGGGATCTACTCTAGTGGAAATTGACATTGATTTATAGTATCAGTGGTCTCAAGTTCAAACCCTCATGACACATTGGAATTGTGTACATGTGACCAGGGACGGACTCAAGATTTGAAAATAACATGGGCTAAATTTACCTTACATATAAATTTTTTGAAAACTCAAAGATATGAATGCATTTCATTGATAACAAAAAAATACACAAAGTGCATAATGAGCCTTACACCTCCAAACCCCCATATATGATACAACTATTAAAATAATATATATTCAAAATAGTCATTTTCCAAATTAGTATCATTGTTACCTGAATTCCCCAAAAAACATAGCCCAATACAAAGCTGGAGGAAAAAGACCTATGTGGAGTCGAGAAGAAGCAGCCTTAGAATTGGTGCGGCCGATCGATAAGGGTGTTGGGTGTTTTTTTTGTTGGTTAGCCAGCATAGTGGGGGTTAGTTAATAAGATTGGCCAGGGCTAGGGTATTATTTTAGTCTTGAAAAAATAAGTTTCCTGGGCTATAGCCCAGGTTAGTATGTTAGTAGTACTGTCCATGCACGTGACAAAACCCCATCCCCCTTTATAACTTTGGCAACAAAAAAAAATTATATCTTGTTGTTTTCAAATTCATTTTTTAGTCATTTTGATCATTCAACTCTTCTTTTTTAAAAGGTAATTGTATCTAAGTTGATGATTTTCCTTCTCAACTTTACATTATTGTGACGAAATTATCAAATTTGAACAAGTGCTAAAATTGGAGGACCAAAATCAGGGACGGATCCAGGGTTTCAAATTAGGGTGGGCTAGATTTACTTTACGTACAAGCCTTGAAGAGAGGAATATAATCAATGGGATTGACATGTACATATTTCCAATTTTTTTAAAAACACAAAACTTATATTAATTAACCAAAACAAAAACTCACACTAACTAACAAAAGAAATAAACTCATACTAATTAAACAATTACAAATGTAGAAGCTATTTTTTTCTTTCCAGAAGTGTAGAAATTTTTAGGATTAAGGCTTTATGGCATAAAACATGAATGATTATAATTAAAAATATATTGGAATTTTAGGGGACTATAAGGGGTTGACCTACTTTCATTTGTTTATTTTGAATTATAAAACCTGTACAATAAAATGTTTTGGTCAAGCCAAAAAAAAAATTACATAGAATTTTTTTAAATAAAAAATTATAAATCCCTAATTGATACTTCATAAACTCTAAAAAAGTCCCTAAATTTCAACATCAACAAATTAAGACAATAAAAGAAGATTAAAAATTGAAGATTAATTTGGTTTCCTTTAATTAAGCATTGAAGGGCATGGTTGATTGGCGTGTAGAAGGGATGTTGGCTCTTTCTTCAATTTTTTGTTCTCTGTGTGCATTAGCTAAGGGATGTTTTTAGAGCAAGAGGGTGTGTGGGGTTTGCTTGGGTGGGCTAGGAGTATTACTATAGGCTAAAACAAATAAAGACACCTGGGCTATGGTCTAAGTTAGCCTGGGAATGGGTCCGTCCCTGACCAAAATGACTTTCTTTTTCTTTGAAGGAGGTAAGTAAATTTTATTCATTAACCGAACAACATAATACAATGTGGAGGAAAAAAAACATATGCACAAGCTTGATCAAATACATATATCAATAATTAGCTTTTAAATCTTCTGTAAGCAAAGAACTCAACCACAATGGCTCCTCTTCAATCTACGTGGAAAAATCAGCGTTCCTAATAGCATATTATGACTTAAATAACTAAAATAAAACTCGAGTATAAATTTAAAAACTAAATTAAATTGTATTAAACACATTTGCTGGTCTATGCGAGCAGGAAATTCAGTCGGGCCATGCCACCTTTGTTCTCTTGATCAGTCGTCCTATGGTCGGCACGTAAATCAAACAAAAGTCGCCCTGTAATATTTAATACAATACCCAACACCGGCGGCTTTGTGGTAAAACCGTCCACAAGTAAGCGCCAAGTGTCCAACCAAAAAAAAATCTAAGCGCCAGGTGGCAGTAGGCAGGCCAAACCAAATGTTTGTTCGGCCGTAGAAACTTCCAAAATGCCTGGATCATAACTTGAAGCCGTTAGAAGCTGGCACTTACCTTATTAATGAAATAATTGTTCAATGAATTTTCCAAAAAAGACAAAATTGTTCCGTGAAAGATTAATGAAATAATTGTTCAAACCTTAAATTAAAAATGTTTTGGTCAATTTCAAATCCCCGGGCATTAGGGATTTGGGAATAATGTGACCTGTAAAAGGGACAGGTTTTTGGTCGATCACTAGCGGATGTCCCATTACGATTGCAATAAAACTAATTAAGCACTTTTGTGGCTGTTGTTGTGTTACGTTTGTGTCAATGGTTGCTGCGTGTAAATGATGATATGGTGATAACTATGTTGTTGATAAGGTCTGGTGGTGATGCTTAACTAATTCCGGCATCAATCATGACGGTGCTAGTCAATGGCGGTCCTAAGGTTTTGGAGGCCTCAGGCGAACCACCAAAATGTGGTCTTTTACCCTCTTTGTATGTTTATGTCATTTTTTTTAGAAAGTTCAAAAAAAAATTATATGAACTCAAAGTCACAATTGTAACTTAAAAAGAAAAAAAAAATATGTAATTTACATAACAAATTAATAGAAAATCAATAGAAAATAAACTGCTTGTTCTTCATTAGATAAAAAATCAAAAGAAAATAGAAGCAGTAGTCTTGTACGTTTTTACCTTATTGTTCTTCCTTCAAGAGCACTTCCTCTTGCAGTAGATATTCAATTAAATTCTTGTTTTTTTTTGTCAAGCAAAGCAGATTTTTCTATATGATGCTAGGTTAGCTTATATATTGAGATAATTATTCAAAAACCCATTTAGCATGATATATTATACAAAAACTCATATATAGCCTATTTGGAGAGAAAAACCCAAAACTAGCCACTTATCATGGTCTAATTGGTTAAAATTTTATAAGAACCAATTAGAAAATTACAAGTGGTTAGTTTTGGGTTTTTCTCTCTGAATAGGCTCTACAAGGGTTTTTGTATAATATGTCATGTTAGAATGAACTTATTTTTGGAAAGCCACTTATTAAACTAAGTTTTTTTTTTCCTTTTCATTCAACTAGGTTAATTGACTTAAGCTAATTGGTCCCTTATTGAGTTTCCTCTTTTTAATTTTAGAGTAAATATAGGCTTTTTTATATATATACAATATTTGGGTCCTACATAATATTAATATAGTACAATTTTTTCTAATGTAACATACATGTATGTATATATAGAGGTTTATACAAATTGGGAGGTAGGCCCTAGGCGGCCGCCTTGCCCGCCTATGCCCAGGGCCTCCCTCGGTGCTAGCTAGCGTCATGGATGGAACCAGAAATTTTTGACAGAAAGTTATAGTTAGTGTTCTTGCTATTGAATGTAGAATGTCTTGGGGTACAAGGTCTAATTAGAGTGAGGTGCAAGATTTAATTTGAGTGAGCTACATTTAAAATAAGCAATGTAAATAGTTTTTTGTCTAGTGAAAATGAGAAAAACTTAGTTGGAAGAGGATAACACTATTTTGTTATCCCCAACAAATAATTCTATGTTATGTGAAAGTGTTATCACGAGTGTCATAACGTTATTTATCGAGAATAACAAAATAGTGATATCCGCGTGACATGAGAGTCTTTCTCATTCAAAAGATACTTGAGCTATTACAGAAGCGACATAATCATCAAATAAAAATAAAATCACTCATTTCACTTTCCTATTTTATGAGGCATCACGCAAATTGAAATGACAAGTATAATTAAAAAGTGGTTAATTCCAAAAAATAAAATAAATATTAATATTAATACAAATTTGTTCAAATTTATATTTCAAAATCTGGCTTTCTCCACAAGAATTTAAACGATAGGTGGTTTGGTGATACGAAAGGGATAGAGAACTAAGAAAACCAGTGGGCGGACTGACAATTAATCAATAGATCATGATTATGCTGATATCTCATTGTTTCTGTGGCTTTCCCGCCATTCCATTGAGCACCATGCTGATATTACACAAACGCGCCAAGTTTGGCGCTTGCTGAAGCTCAAAAGATTTGTAAATTACAATTATAATTCATCGCGTGCGAATTTCTTAAACATGTTTTCGGAAAGAAAAAAAACACATTTAATTGAGTCTCTTAAAAATACAGCCTTATAAATATATAAATACATAAATTTTAAACCAAATGTGATGAGAATGAATGGGTATGAGATCAACTACTCTTCTTTAATCCATTTAATTACTGGTTTTTCAAATATTTGATTAGGGTTTTGTGGGTTATCCCTATCTCAACTAACTTCCTCTATTTTCGAATAGTTTTCATCTAATTTTTCATTTACTAATTTACCTTTTACATCAAATTATTATTTTTTAACACTTAAGTTTTTTAAGAGCATTTCTTGGGTTCGTGAAGGTTTAATAAATATAGATTAATGATATTTTAATATTAAATTGGACTGGCACCCTATAGATTAATGATTTTTGAACTCAATTATACACTTAACTCTAAAATAAATGCATTGAGAAAAACAAAAAAAAACACTAAAAAGAAATGCAATTAAATTTTCGGGGGCGTGGAAGTGGATGAAATTAACAATGGGCCCATAGTGTCCCGTAGCTTTTGCCCATGGGACCCGAGAACGATGCCTTAACGTTCGGCGGTTTCTAACCCACACACAATCGAACTCCGAAACACAATGAAATTACAACTCGCCCACTCCCCCACAGACCGCTATATATTCCCCCCTCGATTCTCTTTAGGTTTTTACCAAACAAACCACCCAACGGCGCTTCCCAAAATCACACACCGAAATTCGAATACTCAAATTCCCCTCTCTCTCTCTCTCTCTCTCTCTCTCTCTCATATCACAAAATCGTCTCTGTTGCTCTCACCACTGTACAACAATGGCGGTGGCGTCGTCGAGATCAAGATCGGATACGTACTCGTGTCGCAAATCGCAGCCGTTGTTTTCCTCGTCGTCCTCGGGCTTCGCTTCGTCCACCTCCTCCAACTTCTCCTCCGCCACGTCGACGTTCTTCAATCGCTCTGCCTCCCCCACGCGCCTCTCCTTTTACGACCGCTCGACGTCCCCGTCCTCGTCGTCTTTGCGGTTCGCGAACCGCTCCGGCTCTCCGGGCCGTTCGATTTCGGTGAAGAACCACTTTAACCACAGCAACAAGAATAACTACCAGAACGGCACTACCAGCAAGAAGACTTGCCTTTGTTCCCCTACGACGCACCCGGGCTCCTTCCGGTGCGCCCTGCACAAGAACTCACCACGTGGCGGAGCGGCTCACCACTCAAATAGTAACGGCCAAACGTCGTCGTATCACTCGAGTATCAGACTGAACTACAGAAGGTCGGCGATGAAAAACTCGCTGGTGAGAATCGGAGGGGTTGAAGGGGACTTGGTGAAGAGGGCTTTGTCGGCTCTGATCAGGCCTTCTTCGCACAGCCAGCGGCGCCGAGTTGATTTTCAGCCCAAGCCAAGCCGACTCTCCGTAATGTCCAAAGCTTCCGACGACGCCGACGACGTTTAAGTCCCGATTCTTGATTAACGGTTGAGTTGACTCAGAAATCGTTCACCAGTTTTTTTTCGTGAAGGATGATGGGATGATGATAGCACTGTAGATGATGAATTTCTTTTTTCTGGGATTGAATTGCCAGATTATATTTTTTTAAATTCATTTTTGTAAATTTGATTTTTATTTCACGAATTATTCTTTAAATTTGATTTGGGTTTTGGCAGATGAAATTGTGATGAGTTTTTTTGGTTGCAAATTGATGCTCATTTGAGATTCAGATTATAGGTTCAAAACTGTATTGTGCTGTTGTTTATTTTTAATTTTACCTTTTTTTTAAAATTTATATTTACCAATATTATAAATAAATTGATCATGGGTAAGCAAACATGTACATGTTTGAGACATTTGAGAACAAGATATGAGTACAAAAGATAAATAATACCTAAAGAATCGGGAATTAAACTCGGGTGTAAGGGACAGGCACAATGTTGGCCTCCCATCTGAAAAAATAGTTGTATTGAAAATTTGGAAATTTGATTGAAGTTATTTTAGCTTCCATATTTGATTGAAAATTTGGAAACTTGTAATGACTAAGGGGGGTGTATTCAATTGGGATTTTAAAAGATTATTTTGAGATGAATAAGTCATGTGGTATTCGACACAAGTTGTATTCCATTAACAACAGTGAACAATATTAATGATTTAATCTCACTACTAATCAGGGTTAAGAAGTTGCACTAAATTGTGGTTTGCTTGCTAATTGCTGAGTCAAGTTTTAATTAAAGTCTAAAATATAGGTGGCCAGAAGGGTCCATTCTTTGTTTCCTTATTCGTAAAAAGCCATATAAAATTGGCCTTTCAAGATTTGTAATTCTGTATCTAATATTCTAGATTATCGATTCCTTTTCCTTTTCTACTTTTTAATAGGAATTTTGGGTTTAATTAAATATATATAAAAAATTAAATTTTTTATAGAAAGTTTTTTGAAATCCAATTTAGTTATTAAAACTTGGGAAGGAAGAAAGGTCAAGCAATCATTGAGCATTGATTGTACAATTTGAAAGGACATGGTTTAAGCTTTCTTTGCAGCTAAGATGAAATTGGTTGTCGATTAAACGCTTTAAGTAACAAAAGCTGGAGCAATTAAATGAGTGTCCTTACAAACGCACAAGTGATTAATTGTGCAAATCTATAGTCACCGATCTTGTTAGACCTAGTTTTTTCGTCCATGGACCTAAAAGACGGGTCCTTAACGATGGCAGCAATTGGAGAGAAAAAGAGCAGTTTGGGCTTAAAAGAGACTTTCCATATCACACTAGGGGCCTAGACAAATTGAAGGGACCGAACTCTTCAAAGTCAAGGAAGGATTTGCCTCACCAGATCACACTAGCAGCTTGTTTACTTAGTGCTTGCATCTTGAAAGGGAAGAGCTTGATCACACAGATAGACTGAAGAGTCATTTACCCCACCAAGGAGCAAACAACAAAGGTCGAAAGACTTGCTTGCCTCACCGAGAAAGAAAGTATTAGAGACTACCCAAGGATCACCTTTTCCACTGCCCAAGTTGTTAGTTGCCACAAGGATGATTGGACACGTGTCAGAGCACGGCCAGAGTTAATGTCTCAGGTAGAGGAATACAAAGTCTATAAATAGAAGCAAAATCAAAGAAATAAAGGTCCAGCACCAATCAAACAAATCAAGCCCAATAGCTACTTAAATGCACCATTTATCCTTTTTATCATGTAATTTCTAGTTTTCAATGTCATCTCATGATTTAGTGTAACTCTCATTACAAAGAACTCAGAAACCGTTATGTGTTCATGGGCAATCCCCACTTCTATCATTCATTCAATATGTCAACTCTTAGGATACCCGCATTACTTAAGTTATTTCTTGAGTACCCCCCCATCCATCCAGATTTCTTAGGATACCCGCATTTCTTAAGTTGTCTGAAACTACTACGTTATCGAGCAGTGGTAGAGTCAGAAATTTTATCAATGAGGGTTAATCTTAAATAGTGAGAGAGAGAATTTGCCTAATTGATTGGCTCATTCGATTAAAGAAATCACGAGAAATCTTAGGAATTATAAGGTGTGTTTATGTGTTAGAAAAAAGATACTATTAGAGCCAAGAGGGATTTTGTAGTGTACTTTAATTGTTATAGGATTAAATAGTGAACAAAGAAAATGAGAAAATGAGAAAGTTAGTAAACTCAAAAGATGAGAAAGGTTAGCCATGTAATATAGAAAGTAATTTAGTCAAATGCAACACATAAAAAAAAAAAATTGACAAGGTTAGGCATATAGGATGATGTAATACTAAATACAACAAATACAAAGAGGAACATAAATCATATATACGTAGTGATGGAATTTGATTTAGGTTGATTTATAAAGCTCAAAATCGCAATTGAACCAAATTATTACGGCCCGGTTCGATTTTGAACTATAATCAACTACCACATGTTTGATAAGCTCATTTGGTCAATTCGGCCCAATTGATACCGCCCTAGGCATCACAATGTTTCTCCTGTTATACATATCATGTGTGTGTGCGTTCTTAATTATTATTTTTTTAATTGGGCAACTATATATGCAGCTTTGTTTGAGGAAAGGAGACATATGCACGGCTCTCTCATAATTCTGTTGATATATTCTCTAGTCTCTGCTGTCTGTAGTAAATCTAGTCTCTTTCAATGGATGAGGCAACAAGTAGAGCAGTTTTGGGCTTAAATTATCAAGTATGTTTTCAAGTGTTGTTTTAAAAAAATTATAAAAATTTCTTGGTCATGCCCGTTGGAGGTCAGACCATTGAAACCCATCCATTTTTTATTTTATTTTTTAAATATGGTCACATTTTTAAATGTTTTCAATTCGTGTTGTTTTAAAAAAATTATAAAAAATTCTTGTTCTAATCAACGTATACGTGTTATATATGAAATATTATACCTAAATAGTAGTTTAATTAAATTAAACAATACATAGTTTCGGAATGTATGAGTGTTGTACCATAGTTTTTCTCAAAATAATAAAAGATGAAGGACTCTAAAATATAGTCCTGCATGGCTAGAGATGAAAAATTTTAGCCCTGCATTATTCTTTAAAAAATTAATATTTTGGAGGGCTAAAATTTTAGCCCTGGACTATATTTAGCCCTATGACTGGGGATGACCTTAGTTAGTTAGAACACTGAACAGATCTCATTTCACTCAAGTTTGGACCAAGATGAACTTAAAAGAAAGAAAAGAAAAAGAAATTCATAGAGAATGAGAAGAAAATGCAAGAACAAGAAGAGATGAAGATGAAAAAGAGAAGGAGAAGAACAAACATGAAGCGGTACGTACAATATTAGTTATTTATTCTTCAACACTATTGGGCCAATTTTATTATTTTATAAATTATTTATTTTATTATGGGCGGGCTGAGTTGGGCTTAGATGGGCTCAAATTGGCCGTCGGGCTGAAATTTCAAACCTTTAGCACAAATTCTATTCATTCTTAACAGGAGTCAGACCAATCGGACGTAAACAACAGGCCGAATTTTGACCCATCGGGCCTCGCATTATCCACTTCAGCCCAGGGGCCAAATGGTGATTCCTTCTGATGAATTTAGATGATCTGTAAATTGACTGCTTTTATGCGATCGTAATGAACACACGTAGGCAAAGTGTATGTAAAGGAGGGAAAAGAAAAGACAATGAATATTGTCATTAAATGTTATAAATTTGGTTGGCCCACCTGCCCTCTGTTTCCCGGACCTTTACCTTCTTCTTGATCTTGGCATTGTTTTCTCCACTGGAGTGAACTCCATTAATCTCCGATAGTCACACTGCGTCGTCGTTTCCCTTCTTTTCCCGCATTTTCTTTCCTTTTCTTTCTCTCTAACCCTTTTGTATATATAACCAATAGCAGAGCATCCAGCTGCATCACAGAAGATGCCAAGCCCAGTTTTGAAAGCTGGAAGCAGACCGCCATGGGTGGGTTTGGGAGCTGCAGTTTGGGCCCAAATTGCTGCTGGAAACGCCTCTACCTTCCCACTCTATTCCCCTCTGCTGAAATCCGTACTGGGTTTGAATCAGCAGGAGCTGACGATACTTGGAGTGGCCAGTGACATTGGAGAGAGTGTGGGTTTTCTTCCTGGAATTGCCTGCAACAAGTTCCCTCCTTGGGCTGTGCTTTTGGTTGGTTGTGGGTTTTGCTTCTTGGGTTATGGTGTTCTCTGGCTTGCTGTTAGCCAAACTATCGCCAGCATGCCTTTTGTTGTGGTGAGTCACCCAGTTCATATCTCTATACCTCCATTTCTCTGTTTTGGATTGTTGGCATTTTGAAATTTTCACATGGGAAGTTTGTTGTTCTGGTAAGTGTTTCTTTCTACAAATTCACTTGAAGTTTTCTTGTCTGAAACTTTGAATTTTGATTGCAACAGTTATAGAATGCCACAATGGTCTTCGTTGTCCTTTATAAATTTTTTAAGATCATTTCTTAATTCTAGTACTTCTCAAATATGGTAGTTTTACTACTTTTCTCCGTTCTTTCTAGAGATTTATCTAGTTTCTTGGGAAGCATGAGAGATTGGGTTAGAGCATGCTGATATTCCATCTGATGTTGAACTAGCATTAAATTTCACTCTTGAAAGGGAATGTAGTGATATTTAACTGCCAATTGTAGCCTACAATTTAAAGGAAATTATTTAAATCAGTGATTAAGAAATACCAACATAGTCAATTTTTTTTTTCATTGCATTTTGTTTAAGGAGCTAAGCAGAATAACTGTAAACAAAAAGCATCCTTAACAGCTTGCTCTCCTTAAAGAACAAATTCCTTGCCATATTTTCCCTTGCGATCGTTGTGTTCAGTTTATTTCCCTTTGCCTTTTTTAACAGAACTTTGCTCATTATTCTTGAGGACTGGAAACCTTAAGGATAGAATTCAGTTGCCAAATCCAGCAATTTTCATATCTAATAGTCTATGCGTCTATCTAGTTGGGTGCATGTTGTAGGTATCAACATCTTTTAGTGCTTTTACTTAGCATGTGTCGTCTAATAAATCAAGAGCATGTTGTATAAATGGTTTGCTTACTTGAATCCTCTTGTTAAGGGGCAGGTTTGGTGCAGATTGGAAGCTACTTTGCAGAAGTATTAGTCCAATCTAGCAAAGACAGAGATCTTTAGGAAGAATATTGGGTTTGAAGAACCAGTTTTATTTCTATTTTAATATTAAGATACTGTGTAGAGTTGGGTGGTGCAATTTTAATCGTTGGGTAAGTTTTCATCGGAGCAACTTCTTTTGGATGTAAAAGTGATTAATCTTCCCCTAAGTTATTTGTGGTTGGAATAATTAACCATTGCTGATGCCTTGTCATATGCATTTGTTTGAAGATGATTATTTACCAGTTGTGGCTTAAAGTGTTCTGATAATGGGACTCTTCAAGTAACAAATTCACTCAGTCTGGATTTTGTTACATGATTTATAGTGTCTTTCCATGTGTGATATCAGAAAACATTTTAGCACGAAAGGGAGGAATTCTTCATGTTTCCTGAAGATTATTGCACCAAAACTATTTAAGGTGCAAATACCAATACATTGAAAAGTTTTAGTTATTGCATTCAAAGTCAACTTCTTGACAATACTGCGGTGGACTCTGCAATATTGGGGCGTATTCATTTGTCTACTCAAGCATGAGTTTGGTCAAAAGCTAGAGTGACAAAGCTGAGCATATTTGTGTCATAGTATTGAAAAGTAAAGGCAGGGGACATGAATGTACCTTGTTTTGGTGCTTATTCTTGAATTCTAATTTTATTGTGGTTGAGCTGGGCTCCATACTCATGAACCTCTTCTAAGTTCCAAAGTAAATAAAAAACAAGAATTGTGATCCTAACTTTTTTCATTTGATAGGAAACTGATGAAAATATACAGATAGAAAAGGAGCCACCAGTCTGCTTTAACAAAATATGTTCCTGAGTTCAAGAAATTATTTCTAACTGATTCAATTTTCAAAATTGGAATTACAAAGTCGTATAAATGTTGATTACTGATGACCAGACCTCATTTCCTCATTTCCTATACTGTTAGTACTATCTTAATCTCACTTAAGGCTATAAAAAATCTCTATTATATCTCTTATCCTCTCTTTCTGGAGCCCTCTGCATGATTAAAATTGAAGCGATGCAAGTAGCATCATCCTCCATGTACATTGTATATGGACAAATGTTTTTCCTAAGAACACATTAAATAGATACAATCAAGTTACATGATTTTTCGGTGTCTTTTTCGGTTGACATTAGTTCATCAGATATCCACTACATTGTGGTTGGTTGTACATATTTTCTTGTAACAATAAGAATCTTGTTTTGTGCATATTTTGTGTGGTGCAGTTGATTTACTTAGACTTTCTATGCGAGCATGCTTTCATCTGAGTGGCATTCTGGTAATCTGTTGAAATAATTATCTCACCACTTTGGCATTCAGTTAACTTGTCACCCTTATAGTTATAACCGTTCTTTGACATGGTTGCAGCTGAGGCAGCGTATATGTTTTAGCTTTCACATTTGGACCTCTAACATTTCTCTTTTAATGATATGGCAGTTATGCATCACACTTTGCATTGCCACAAATAGCAATGCTTGGATAGGCACAGCTGTGCTTGTAACCAACATGAGGAACTTCCCTCTCAGTAGAGGCACTGTTGCTGGCATTCTCAAAGGCTATATTGGGCTTAGCGCTGCAGTTTATACAGTGGTATACAGTATGGTGCTTAAGAAATCTGCTTTGAATCTGTTGTTGTTCCTTGCTCTTGGGATTCCTGTTTTGTGTTTAGCCTTGATGTACTTTATTCGTCCATGTACTCCAGCTTCTGGAGAAGATTCTTCGGAGCATGTCCATTTTCTCTTCTCCATAACTGTCAGTGTTTTGCTTGCAATCTATCTTGTCACAGTCACAGTTGTATATGAGATAGTAACTCTTAGTGATGCTGTTTCCTACATTTTGGTTGCGATAATGGTTATCCTACTGCTTTTTCCCCTTGCAATTCCGTTGAAGATGACATTATTTCCTGCAAGGGCACGAGCTGAATCTTCGGACCATCTTGCTCCAGGAGAAGGCAATGCAACCCCAGCAGATCCTTTGTTGACACCATCCTCATCAGCTACATACCTTGGAAGTTTTCATGAGGCTGAGGATTTTTCAGATGTCGAAACACTTCTTGCTATTGGGGAAGGGGCAGTGAAGAAGAAAAGGAGGCCTAAGAGGGGAGAGGATTTCAAGTTTCATGAAGCTTTTATAAAGGCGGATTTTTGGCTTCTTTGGTTTGCATATTTTCTTGGGGTCGGTTCAGGAGTAACAGTACTCAATAATTTGAGCCAGATTGGGATTGCATTAGGCGCTAGTGATACGACAATACTGTTGTCTCTCTTTAGCTTTTGCAATTTTGTTGGTCGTCTGGGTTCTGGTGCTGTTTCTGAACACTTTCTGAGGTTATTGCTCATGAACTTCTATCTAACTGTTTACGGAAACTCTTTTTTTTTTCCCCTTGTTTTCAAGTTGTTATACAAATTCCGTACCATAACCAACACCACTTAATTGTTTTTGGATAGGGCATTAATATGTTCTATTTCTTCTCTGGTTCTGATTTTTAGTTACAATGATGTTCTTAATAATCTTGCTAACTCACTTGGTTGACTTGTGCTCTTTTAACCTTCAATTTTGTTTTTCCGTTGAGAAAGCTTTCAAACGTGGTTGCTTGTCCCTTACGTGGGTGTTTGTCCCTTACGTGGGTGTTCCTCCCTTTTTTTCCTTCTCTCTATTGTAGGGTTAGCAGATTGGAATTATTTGTCCGAGTTTCTTGAATGCATTACTTTTATGTCAAGTTGTTTGAGAATGTGATCAATTTCTACTCTATATTTTTTAATGGATGAATAACTCTCTTCTGTAATAGCATAATACTAATTTGATATATCATTTTGTACATTGCAGAACGAAAACAATTCCTCGCACATTCTGGATGGCATGTGCACACATATTGATGATTGTATCATTCGTTTTATATGCGTTAGCTCTCAATGGTACTCTCTATGTTGCAACTGCTCTGTGTGGTATCTGCTTTGGGACTCAGTGTTCAATAATGGTTCCAACTTCCTCTGAACTTTTTGGCTTGAAACATTTTGGTGTAAATTATAGCTTCATGGGACTTGGCAATCCTATTGGTGCAATACTTTTTTCAGTTCTACTAGCTGGTAATGTATATGATGCTGAAGCTGCAAAGCAAGGAGGGTCCACCTGCATAGGTTCTAGTTGTTTCAGGCTCACATTTCTAGTTTTAGCCGGCGCCTGTGGTTTGGGGACGATCTTGAGCATAATTTTGACTATTAGAGTGCGACCAGTTTACCAAATGCTTTATGCTGGGGGTTCTTTCCGTCTGCCTCAAAATTCAAGCCACTAATGATTGGAGATGTTATTATCTGATAACATCAATCCATACAGGTTTGTAGAAGCATGCTCCAATAAATTTATTCAGATGACTAGGGAATATTTGCGGCTTCAATCTGCTAAGAATAAATTCTCCAAAGTCTATGGGGTATGATTTTGAATTTGATGTATAATTAGAATTGATATATGTAATGTTTCCAATGAGCTAAGAACAAATTCTCTTCAGAAGTATTCAGGCACGATTTGCGGATGACGCACGTTGTGCAACCATTTCCCACACGGAATGCAACCATTGGCTGTTATACCATATAAGAATTGAACTTTCTCCCCTTATATTCCATCACACTTGCAGACTTGCAGTTTACTTTTCTCATTTCTTCTGCCTTTTGAAATGCTGTTATGTAGCTTAGTAACTTCTCTCTCTCTCTCTCTCTCTCATCACAAAATCGTCTCTGTTGCTCTCACCACTGTACAACAATGGCGGTGGCGTCGTCGAAATCAAAGATTGGACACGTACTCGTGTCGCAAATCGGAGCCGTTGTTTTCCTCCTCGTCCTCCGGCTTCGCTTCGTCCACCTCGTCCAGCTTCTCATCCGCCACGTCGACGTTCTTCAATCGCTCTGCCTCCCCCACGCGCCTCTCCGTTTATGACCGCTCGCCGTCCCCGTCCTCGTCATCTTTGCGGTTGGCGAACCGCTCTGGCTCTCCGGGCCGTTCGATTTCGGTGAAGTTAAGGTTTAGGGGCAGTTTGGACATAAGAGCGAGTTAACGGTTGAGTTGACTCAGGAATCGTTCACCAGTTTTTTCGTGAAGGATGATGGGATGATGATAGCACTGTAGATGATGAATTTCTTTTTTCTGGGGGCCAGATTATATATTTTTAAATTCATTTTTGTAAATTTGATTTTATTCCACGAATTATTCTTTAAATTTGATTTGGGTGTTGGCAGATGAAATTGTGATGGGTTTTTTAGGTTGCAAATTGATATGTAGTGTGGCTGTCTTTTAAGAGAGAGAATGTTTACATCCAGATTTAATGGTAACGTCGTTAGTAACCAACTCTCGTTTTTGTTTTTTTGTTTTGTTTTAAGAAATAGAAAAGAAACCCTAAGACATAATTACTTTTATCGAAATTTGCACTACTGTCCTGAAAAGAAGGAAAGCTTTTGCAGCCATAAAGCTATGGATAGTCATAGAGTTAAACATATATCCTCGATTTGTGTTATGCAATAGTACTTTTATTTTCAATTACTGTAGTTTTTATTTGTCTATTGCTGCAGTTTTTATTTTTTTGTTTTTGTCGATTGTTTCAGGTTATGCAGGATGTTTCTCTTTCTTAGAGTATGTCCACTCCAAAAGGCCAAGGCAAGGAAAGGGTTGACACTATTCAAGTGAATAGTGACAGCCTACCATTTTTTGTTCCACCCTAAAAGGCTAAGACAAGGGCAAATACTATTTATTTTACTTTATTTCCTTTTTTTTTTTTACTTTTTTCTTTGTCTGAATTTTTTTATACTTTAAACTATTAATTTTGATAAGCTTTTCAGATAATATTTTCGGTTGCCACATGTCACTATTTATTATAAAATTATCACCTAAAATTTCAGATAAAATTTTCGAATAAAATTTTTCAAATTAAATTTTCGGATAAGATTTTTGGTTGCCATGTGTCCATCATTTTTCAGAAAAGATTTTCGAATGAGATTCTCGGTTGCCACGTGTCTTATTTCAGATAAAATTTTCGGATATTTATTTTAAAAAAAATTATAATCTCAGATTTCAGATAAGATTTTCAGCTCAGATATTTAAAAAAAAAAATTATAATCTCATATTTCAGATAAGATTTTCACCCTCTAAAATTGCGCCACATGCCATCTCTATCTTATGAATCTCTCTATAAAACTACATCATCAACTCATACCTCTCAAACCATATCTTATCTATTCATTCATTTATGAGATTTTACAAAACACATTCTACTCTCAATGTCAAACTTGAGGAGGGTGTTGGAGAGGCAAGAGCGAGAAGATGAAGAAATCTGGCGCAAACGTGCTGAGGAAGATCGGGAGGCCGATGAAGAAGAGGAAGAAATGGTTGTAGCGGTGTGTATGCTTAATGAATCAAGGCAACACCACCGTCGTCGTGCCCCGAATGTGGACAGACATAGGCAGTCTCAGGGTAAGAATCTCTTGGAAGATTACTTTATCCCAAATTCGTTATATCATGTTTCTAAGTTTCGAGAGAGATATAGAATGCAGCCACATTTGTTCCAAAAAATCATGCATGATATTTGTAATTACGACACATACTTCATTCAGAAGTATGATGCTGTTGGAGTTTTGGGTCTTCTCCCAGAGAAAAAACTTACAGCTGCTTTGCGGATTCTTGCTTATGGGGCAACTGCAGAGCAGGTGGATGAGATTGCAAGGATGGGAAAATCAACTATCCTAGAGTGCTTGGTGAGATTCTGTGATGCAGTAGAAAATCTCTACACGAGGGAGTACCTTCTCAAACCTACGCCTAGGGACCTCCAAAGGCTTTTGCAAAGGTGAGGCTCGAGGTTTCCCAGGAATGATTGGAAGCATCGATTGCATGCACTGGCAGTGGAAGAATTGACCAACTGTTTGGCAAGGTGATTATGGGAATCGAAAGGGCCAAAAAAGTATAATTATGGAGGCCGTAGCTTCATTCGACACTTGGGTTTGGCATGACCTCAATGTGCTTGGTCAATCCCCGGTCTTCAACGATGTATTGCGAGGTCATTCCCCCCCAGATCACGTACCAAATCAACAATATCGTATACTCTGGTGCGTACTACCTTGTCCGCTTCTGTTTGTGCCTGATAAATCACGGCCATAAGCTGGCCGAAGGAGCCCCTTCTCTCGGCCCTGGCACTTGTTCGTAAAAACTGAAACGCAGCGTTTCGCCAGGGTACTTCGCCTTCCTAAAGATAAAAGAAGAAATGCGAAGGCATGATCATCTCAGCCTCAAACGCAGGCCGAGGCCGAACAAAATCACGGTCAAGGCATTAAAAGGTAAATCATCACGTGACAGCAGGGTCCCAGGCTTCATTTAATGAAGTAGTGCCTGTTTAATGCAGCAAACCCATTGGCCACAAAGAAGCATTTAATGCATGAGGGAAGGTGGGAAGTGACTGAAGTCAGGATTTGGTGATGAGGATCAGAGTGATTAGACGTGGACATTCTCACAAAAATTCTGACAGCCTGAGATATT